CAAAAGTCCTTTTTTTATTTTTCAAGATATCTTTACAAAATTCGCCACGAATTCTGTCAGACTCTGAAGATATGAGCCAGAACTTATCGATTTCGGATCTATAGAGCTATGAAAAGGATCAGTTGAAAAATGAGTTTTCTATGCCAAGAATTCTTCTTTAAACTCTTCTTTTCTTTATGCTCTTTCAATTATTTCTTAAATGAAACCCCTTTTCTTCACTTGCTGTTCTACGCCCCTGTCTGGCCCTCTCATGACCTCCAATTGGAACCAAACACAATTCTTGTTGCATTTTTAATGCGCGGCGCGAGTTGTTGCCGCAGTTGTTGTTGCTGTTGTTGTTGTTGTTGTCGCATTTGTAGATACTCTAGCTCGATGAGAGTTTGACTACAGCTTGTTGCAGCTGTTGTTGTTGTTGTTGTTGTTGTTGCTGTGGCCATTAGGAAATCGGACAATTTTAGATTTTAATTAGATTTTTTATATAAATTTCAGTTTGGGGGCACTTTGGAGCAGCCATATAAACGGGGCCAGCATTAAAGCTGTAAAGCTGTTAAGCTGTGGGCCTGACTCTAGCCAGGCAGCTAGTCAAGGTTGCCACGCCCACCAGACACCCGCCAGCCCCGCAGGGTAACAAAAGCACATACGCTGCACTTTTCAAGGCATGCCCCAAGTTGAAGCCCAAAGGCAACAGGAATATGGGAACAGGCAACGGGCATGTGGCATGTGGCATGTGGCATGTGGCAGAGTGTCGTCTGGTTGACATAGATGTATATCGGGGCAGCAGCAACAAGAACAAAAGGCATTAACACCATCAAACTTGGTAAACAGAGATACAGCACGTATCTAATAAAAGGCCACAACGTGCTGCCAACGCGGTCGCGAATCAACTCAGGGCTCGGTGCTGTGTGCGGGCGTGCCGGGGCGTGCCGGGGCGGGGCGGGGCTGCCGGATGAGGGATTGGGGAGTACTTGCGTCCAGAATGCGGACACATTCTCAGTGTGCCTGTGTGTGTGTGTGCGTGTTTGGTTCTTTGACATTGGCTGAGATTTGCGGCGTTTTGTGTTGCCTGCTTCCACCTCAGCCGCTGCCTCAGCGCCCGCTCCAGCGGCACGTTGTTGTTGCACGCACATTCATGCAACTCACATAGCCAGACGGACAGACAGACAGACAGACAGGCAGATAGACAGGCAGATAGACAACAAGTCGGTGTCTGTTGCTCCTTTCAACGCTTTTGCCAGTTGATATCCTGCTTAAGGATGCGCTCAAGTACTTTCAAGTCACTTGGCAGCTGCTTAAGTTAACTTTTGCCTGGCGGGCGTCGGGTACGGCGGGCGGGCTGTCGGTCTGGTAGCATATCATCAGCTTTGCAAAACCCACCACCCTGCCACCCCGCGGCCCCTCCCTCGCCCCGCGCGTCGTAACTCGACCTGCCATGAATGTATCTCCGTGTTGACAGTGCGATGAAACGCAGAATGGAATCAACCTTTGCGTTTGGCCCCTCCCCTTCCCCTCTGCCAGCTGCAACTTTGCAGCCCGCAACTGTTGCCCGCGGCGGCTCGAGGTCGCCCGCTGGCTGCACTTGACTCAAGTGTCCTTTGCCTTTGCTTCAAAGCGACAAAAGTGTCACCGCAACTGTTGCGGTTGCAGCAACAGCATCCAAACCAGGCCAACGACAGGTGGAGGTTACGGCTTGGACCGGCTTTTGGCTGCTGTCAAAACAAATTCAAAATGCGTCTACACTCAGCGAAATTGCAGCGGCGCAGAGCCTGAGTTTAGCTACAAGTCAAACATATGGTAAATATATATTTCAGTCTTTGGTACTTGATAATCAAAAGTATTTTCAAAATGTTCAATATTCAATTCATAAAAATAACGATGAATGGAAATCTTCTGCATATTTCTGTCATGGAGATGGCCAGTCTTCGATTTGTTATCGATACTATCGATAACTGAAAAGTCGGCATATAGCATTTGATATAGTAGCTCGACTTGGTACGGCTTAGCAGCGAAGTTAGTGATAGAGTTTATGTATTTTGAAAATACTGAAAAGTTGGCCATATAAAAAGGGTGTTGTGATCGATTTTTCTATCGAACAGATACCTTAGAGCTCTACAGGGACACAGAAACAAGATAAGATCCAACTGGGAAACCCGACTTAAGTTCTTTGAGTGCGATTGTGATTTTGACAAGGCTATAATTTTGGGTATCGCCGGACACGGACGTGTTTTAGGAATATATAGCATACTTAACGGGGTCTCCTTCTACGTCTCCTTTTCGAGGCAAAATCTGAATATTCTCTGCAAGTGCACAATGCAACTGTATTCATTCGTTGCTTGCGGTGCAATTTCTGTGGTTGCCAAGAAACTTTTAATTTTTGACTGCTCATTAGGTTTGTGGATCAAAGAGCACGAAAGGAACACAGATATAGCTCAAAATTGAGACACAAATTAATTTAAATTAATAAATAGTAAATATTAAGTAAAAATGTGTCGAGCTACGCTCCGAGCTGAAAGAGCCCAGCAAATAGTAATTAAGCTGAAAATTGAGTTCGTTGGCAATAAAATGTTCCTTAAATAATATTTGCAACGAATCCAAGAAAATCGTAAGTTCCGAAGTAAATATCGCAGATGAGTTGCTTAAGATATTTAAAAGAAAAACAAAAACTTTTTGCCTTGTTTCTTGTGGTGCAACAATTTTGCTTTGGTGATATCAAGAATATATATATACATATATACATATAAACCTGACATTGTTTTCAAGTTATTTTCGCATTGTTTGATTTCACTTTCAAATTTTGCTCTGCTTGCTCAGACGATGGGGCAAACAAGGCGCGGCGCCTCCGTTTGGGTTGCGCGAGGCTTTTGTCTCGGTTCACCTGCCCGCATCCTGGCGTCCTGCTAACCAGTTGCCAGTTGCCAGTCGCAAGCATATCCGTATCCTTGCGCCAGCCCTGCATCCTTTCCGGCTGCCCTGTTCCGCCCGTCTGCTGTCATTTGTATTTGAATTTGTTGAAACATCTTAGTGGAATTACTTTCAGTTTAAATTGGCCTTAAAGTGGCCTTCACTTGCTGTCCCTCTCACTCCCTCTCCTTCTCTCTCTCTCTCTCTCCCTCTCTCTCTCTCTCTCTCTCGGTGCTTAGCTCTATAATGCCTGCTTACGACTGCGATTCTTTTGATTTGATTAGCTAGTCTCTAAAAATAAATGGTTCGAGTGCATTCACTTAATTTAATTTAAGATTTAAAAAATGTCTTTTGTTCACCCAAAAAATGTATTTAGGTTGACGTAACTGAAGTCAAAATTAATTTTAATTCTTTTCAAGGATGTCTGTGAAACCAAATCATTGCTTGTTGCATTTCCACATCGTTTCGCAACACTATTTTTTTATATAAGAAATCGATATGCAACACTGTGTTAACAGCATTTGGGAATTTTAAGCGTTTCTTCACTTTAGCATATGTTTACGTATCTTAAAGCTAATTGTCGAATACTGAATCCTTTTCTAGATAGTATTAATGCAAATATTATATTTGTCTTATAATAGCTATCGTATAGATTGGAAAATTTATATTTTCCTCGATATGGAATGTATATATGTATATGTAGATATGGATGTATGTATAAGAAATGTAAAATGGGTTTTCCTGGCATCACTTTGTCGACTCAATAAATTATATTGATAAATATCTAATTAGATTTAGGGAAGAGATAGTTGCTTGCATAATACTGCACATTCCAAAATATCAATAAGAAACGAGTTTAATTTCTGTTTGAATGATAAACAACAAGTAATTTTTCAACCCATTTTCCAGCCTTGCAGAAAGAATTAGCAATTCCCTTATTTTAATTTATAAAAATCTTAAAGTTAGATTCCCAGCTCTTACTGCAAGTCAACAAGATATTAGACTCAGATTCTGAAATGGCTTACTATGTTTTTATTTTTTATCGATTTCTGGTATATTTTAACGCGTTTTGGGCGTGTAAATGTTGTGTTTTCTCAAACAGAGTTTGCTTTTCCAAAAAATTCAGCTTGTTGCTGCCTGGAGCAGATATATCAAAGTCTCACTTCAGTCTGTGCGAAGCTCGAGAATAGAGCACATTTGGAGAACGGAAAATGTGGAAAAATATTTAAGTTTTGATTTGTTTTAGTTCCGTGAAATTTCAATGCCAGGACCTTGCAAATACACTAAAAGGAGCTCGTGGAAGTTCAATATAAAAATTCCGATCCTTGTTGCAGCTCACTTGAAGCAAGCCGCGAGAAGCAGCCCCAAGCTGAGCCACAGGTAGGCGTGACTGCAGGTGGCACCGCCAGCCCCGCCACTAACCCACCAACCCTTGCCTCTTCCACAGGTGCTCTCCGGCTGAAACATAAAGTAGAGCTCACTTTGAGCCCGTTTCTGTTTTATACCCTTAAAGGGGTATACTTTTTTCATGACTCCCGTTTGTTTCATTTTTTAAGCTATCATCAAGAAACTTGATTTGTCTTAATGCAGACGGACAACTATTTTGCTTATTGAAATATTTTGACGAACCCCGGCATTTACTACTTATTTAAACTATGCTATTTATATGTGAGCCAAATCTTGTCAAGATCGCAGTATTATATTACAAAGAGCAATAGAAAGAATCGATCGGAAAATGGGGTTTCACAAGGAGAGATATTTTCATTTATTAATTTTCATGATAAACAAAATCTGATCAACATCGGAATAGACATCTATATTAACAGTCGGTCGGGAATTAGACTTTCGCATAAAAGCCTTTCTTGTTTCTTGCATTTCGTTTGGTTTTTAAGGCCTCTAGAAAATCGATAAAGTGGTATAATTATAATGCAAGTGTAAGTGACAGAAGAAAGCATCTTCGAGCTTATCAAATATATAAATATATTCTCAGTCAGGACGACCAACTGAGTCGATCTATGTGAAGAGACGACCCACCTCGTATACCATATGCAAAAAGAGTACCACATTTTTTAACTACCTCGCATAAGAATATGCACGAAAACAAAGCTTCTTTCTGACCAATTTCAAAAAGATCGGACCTTAAGCACCGAAGCAACGGACATCAGAAGCACAGCGGGTGTTTTTGAGTATGTGTGTGTGTGTGTGTGTGTGTGAAAAGAAGTGCGAATGTAACGGAAGTTCTTGGTTGAATTTAGGGTATCTGCGAGTCGGGCGTGCTCGACTAGAGATCTTTTGTATTTTGTTTTTTACATGCGGTAATACTTTTATATTCCTTGACCTCTTCTTCTTTTTGTTCTTCTCGTTCTCGTTCCTTTTTCCTTTTTCTTCTTCTTTTCTCTTTTTCTTTCTCCCTTTTCTTTCATTTTTCCCTTTTTGTTTTTGTTTTTGGCATTTATTTCTTGTGATAGCTGCCACCCGCTTTTGCGCTTTGCGTGCCGAGAAATGCGCGGAATGCAAAGGAGGCCCGTTTGTATTGCTGCCACTGCCACTGCCACTGATGCTGCTGCTACCACTGCCGCTGCTGCTTTTTCTTCTTCTTCTTCTTCTTTATCGCCGTCCATAGATACGGCCGGACATACTTGAAATTTTTATCGGCGCTCGTTTTGTGGCACCTTCGCTGTGCGGAAAAGAAGGTGAAGGGTCTGACAAACGAAATTGAAAACTGCAATTGACACTGAAACTGGATATGAATATGTAAGTGAAGCGGGCGGTGCGGGGCGGTGCGGGGGTTAGTAGATGTTGCAGGCTGTGTTTATCACCTGCCACTTGCCACTTGCCGCTGCATGTGGCAGAGCAGCGTGTGGCAGCGTGTGGCAGCTGTTGCCGCTGCCGCACGAGCCATGCCGCCGCACGTCACAGGCGCAGCCGGCGCCGAAGTCGCAAACGAACTTGCCACACGAGGCGGCACGAACCGCTCTGCCAATTGGGCAGCCCAATGCGCTGGCAACATTTGTTGCCAGCTGCTTGGCAACATTTGTTGCCGGCCCGCTGTCGCCCAACATTGCCAATGATTGGCCATTAGCAATTATTAACGCAATTATTGTTGCATCGTTTCCTGGCATCCTTCGACCTCGACTCGTTCACGTTCCCGTCCATTCGAAACTAACGAGCCAAAATTAGCTAAACGAATTATGAGACTTTGGCCCAGTCCGTACCGCCTCGCCTTTGTTGCACTGTTGCACTTTCCCCAGCTCCATCATCATCATCATCATCGTCAGTGTTATTATCGTCATTATCTTCATCATTTTTATCATCAGCCCCATCTGCATTATGTTAATCATGTTCGCTTTGTCCCAGTTCGCCACTCCGCTTGGAGCTTCATTTCAGTTTCTTATTGCAGTTAATTAAGTGCAACTTGAGCTTTTTACCAACCAGTCTCGACCCTCCCCTACCCATCCCCTCTTTCCTGCTCCGTCGTCGCATGTTCGCTGTTGCAAGCTGCTTAATTTATGCACGAAGCGATTCCGTCTCCATTGCTGATGATGTGCATGTCAAAGCGCTGACAATCAGATGACAATTCCAGCCATGATAATTCCAGCTAATTGCCTCAAATTCTGCCGTCAATCAACTTTGGTGTAGGGGCTGACGCCATAACAGTCTCTCATGATCCAGCAGCTGAATGGGACTGAGCAATGCTTTGTTAACTCCGGAATGTATGACTGATGGAAGACAAATGAATGATTGAAGAATGACTGGATATCAAATGGATGCTACAGGTTTGATGTACGTCTGATGTGATGTAAGTCTGAAGGATTTTCGATATATGCTTGATAGAGGTGCCCGATGTACGGCTACTACAAGTCAAATGGATGCCCGATGGGAATATGATTTGTAATGAATGCCCGTCGAATATACGCCTGATGCAAGCCTAATGAATGAATGATGTAAGCATTATATGTGTACGATGTAATCTGAAGAATTTCTTATGAATGCCTGATAAACGCATAATGAGTTGAGTGCCTGACATAGGTGCGATGTAAGTCTAAAGGATGCCTAATGTAGCCATGACGGATGCCTAATAAAAGTATGATGTACGTCTGATGCAAGTCTGAAGGATGTGGATGAGTGCTATAGAAATGCTTAATGTAGGCATGATGTACGCTACAAGCAAGTCAGAAGAATTTCAGATTTATGCCCGTTGGATGTGAGAATGATATTCATGTCTGTAAATCTTAAGAATTTCTGACGGATGCCCGATAGATGCACGATGTAAGTCTGGATGCCTGTTAGATATCTTTATCATCGACGCCTAATTAAGGTCTTAAGGATTTCTGAATCGATGCCAGATTTATCCCACATATGCTCATGAAGCATGGGCTTAATTTTATTTACTATGATTGATGGATGTATTGGCTGAACGATGTATATATGTATACATTATGAATGGTGGGACGTAGTCTGACCAATTTATGTATACCTCATTGATACGGGAAAGAGATGTATAACAAATAAATGGGGCTTAAAGCGCCTGATGTCCAGTGCATGTGTCGTGTATGCTAGATGATGAATGGATAGACCTCTTGTATTTCTTGACATGTAATTCGATTGTATTGATGAATGCCTGGCTGATGTCTTATAAGTTCCAGTTAAATGTCAAGTGTATAAGCTGTACAACTGAAATGGTTGCCTCGGCAATGAATTTGATGTACGCCCGATATATGCCTCTTGGAAAAGCTGACGTATGTTTGCCGTGTCTCGAATCAGTTCATAATTGCGACTTATTGAGTTTGCATACCGTAAAAAAGAAAAACTGGATTGGACATCGCCTTTGTGCACCTCAAATATGGAAAAGTTTTAATAAATGATAAAAACAATTTATTTGCTAGTTAAACTGCAGCTGGCTTGTGGATTTACATGCACTGCAGAATGAGTGCGAGACCATGGAACCATGGACTTTTCTTCTTCTCTTCCATTTTCCCCCCTGTGGATTGAATTGGTAAGCGGACCAATGGTCACTTCTCGCGCAGCTCTCTGATTGTGTCTGATTGCGTCAAGGCCATAAAGTATGCAGCACAACGTTCATTGAATCCGAAAACCCGTATTGGAATCGACATGCGCAAGGGTAATCGAAATCCAAATCCAAATCCGCAACCCACGTATAATCATCATAATGGCAAATTATATATAATAATAAAATATTTCGTGTTCAAACTACCAAACTTTCGACCAAGTGCACTGCGTGTATCGGGTGGGTGTGTCTGTGGGGCAGGTGTGTGTGCGTGTGTGTGTGTGTTCGTGTGTGTGTCTCGTTCTCATGGAGTGCTCGAGCTTGTGTGTGTGTGTGTGTGTGTTCAATAGCATATGCGTACGTGTTAGTGCTAGTCCACAGACATTAGCCACTGCTTCCATGGTTCGCGTCCCTGCTCGGGCGCCGGGCTGCGACTTTAACTTAAAGCTGGACGCGCCGTGTTTACTTGGGTTGAGTTGAAGCCAGTTCTTTGCTGTGTCGCCTCCGACCGGTTAAAGTCTGTGCCTCGATTGTACACGGCATGACAATGGCCCGTTACCAAATCAATCGTCTGCGTGACTGTGAGACTGAGACTGTGACTGTGACTGTGACTGACCCCACCCCGGCCTATGTGCTGGTGCCAACTCCACTTTGGAGCTTGCGGCTGCTTTTGTGTGCTGCATGCGAAATTAGGCTGCGAGACGCGGCGGCAAATCAAATGTGTTTGCCGGGGCCTTGAGTGCCAATCGACCCGATGCCGCGTTGCCGCCATTCGCTTGGTATCATATCCGTTTTCCGGTGCATATGCACAACGATATCCTTGCGATGATCCGGCACAAATTAAGCAGTTCAATTCGATGGCATAACTTGGCTGTCTTTGGCCAAAGTAAGCCAAAAGCCTTTCCGTCGGCCAGCTGCTGCTGCTTCAACTCTATTTGCAACTTTCGCCCGGCGACCGCAGCCGCCGCAGCAGCAGCTGAGCGGCAACTTTGCCGGGGCAAAGTGTTCCGTTTCCTTTGTGCGGCAGCTTGGCTCGGCGGGTGGCGCACAGCGCTTCGCCTCCGAGCACACATCTTGAGAGGCTGCGTGGGTGAGGAAATGGGAGAGAGGGGGGGGGGGGGGGGGGTTGGCGGCTGGGTGTTAACTCTTTAAGTGGCGCTATGTCGCGGCGTCTGTGGCACTGCGGCTAGGTTCAAAGTTCAAAGCGAACATTTTCGATTTTGCCATTAATTAACGTTAGTAAATTAGCAGCACAGCTGCAACTGCCACAGCAGCAGCAGAAGCAGCAGCAGCAGCGGCAGCAGCAGCAGAAGCGGCAGCCTCCTTTCAGCTCCTCGAGCAGCAGTCGTAGTCGGAGACGGCGGTGTCAGAGTTGGAGCTGCCGCCTGGCTGGGTGTCGAGTTCATTGATTCGCAATCAACGCCGGCCGCATTTGATTTATTCGCCAGGTCGACGCATTTGTTGTGTGAGGGTGGTGCTGTGGGAGCAGGAGTGGGAGGGGGGGGGGGGGGCGTGGCTGGTGCTTACGGGGTTAAGAAATTGTAAAACTTACGCCCGTGCCGAACGCAATTTAATAAACAACATTTAGAAGGCTCCAAATTTAATTAAGTGCTGCACAACAACATTGAAATGGAAGCATAATTAATTCAAGAAGAAGAGCTAGCCATAAGCCCGATCGAATGTAGCCACAGCAGGTGTAAAAGACTCTTAAGTCTATGGATTACCCATGGCTGTTATTGTTAATAAGTTCGCAGTAGTCTTGAAGCATTTTCCAACACTGCCTGCAGGAAAACCCCCTCACAACTCCCAAGTACTCAAGTAAGAGAAGGCCCAAGCCCTATAAGGAGGTTTTTAGCATACGCACATTGAACGAAAAGTAGCTACGAATTTCAAGACGCTCACATATTTTAATGTATTTTAGAACACTGTTTTTATACACAAACACTATAACCTACTTGTAATTTGATTTCCTCCAATGAGAACTTTATTTGGTTTGTAAACTAATTCGCACTTTCTATCACACTCTTTTTATCTCACTATCTCTCTCAACCTCCCAATATCCCATGATAATTTACATATTTGAAAAGCATTTGGATTCTTAATTTGGCCTTTTGCATTATCTACCAAGCTCTTGTGCTGTATTCTTCACTTATTCCCTGTTTCTCGGCGGTTTCTCAACACTTTTGCTCACAAATCTTTTTTTTGTTATTTACTATCTAACTAACTTCATCATTCATTCAATATTTCTGGAAAATGATTCTAAAAATAAAACATAACTGACATATCCTAATTCTTCTTTCTAAATATCTTCATATTATCCTGACCTCTCCGTCTCCTCCCCTCCGATAAACAAACTCAACATTCCTAAATACCCAAATTTTCATTAATATCGTTACTTTAAAAGTTATCGGTTATCGAAAATCCTGCGAATAATCGGTAATCGCTTAAGCGAGCCCATGTTCACCGCCTGCCGACGAATCCATTTGGTGGAACTGAAGCTAAATTGCAAAATGTTGTGTGAAAAATGTTTAGCAATATTTTATTGGAGCTGTTTACGCGAAAACTCATCAGGAAAATGTGTGAACAACACCGAATCGCAATATAGCAACAGCTGTCGTCGTCGTTGCCGTTGTTGTTGTTGTTGCTGTTGTTGTTGTTGTTGTTGGTGTTGCCGTTGTTCTAGCTCTTGTTGTTGATGACAATCGGCTGTGGAGAGCAGCAGCGACTATGACAAACTGATATTAAAGACGCATCAGAATTTATCAAAATCGAAAAATCGGAAAAAATCAGCGCTAATAGAAAAAGTTGTGGGCCACAACAGCAGCCGCTGATGGTTGCCCAAATGCACTTCAAGCTGGCATGAGGCCTTAGGCATGCAGTTTGCACACATTAGTTGAAGGTGCACACAAAAGAATATATTAAATTCGTTCCAACCCGTAGAGTCGTACTCTCTTCACTCACTAACTAAGCGAGCTGGCTGAAATTGGTACAGCTGCTGCCTTTTATGTGAGAGCTACAAGTTGAAAAGGAACCGGAACACCTTGGCATAGGGTAAACCCGTAGTCATGCCAATATGTAAAGCTGTTCTCTAGAAAGCGGCCTTCCATTTATGACATCCACGTCAACACGGCCTTATGAGTGTGCTTCGCTTAGGTGTCTAAGGGTCGGACTAACAAGTGGCGAGTCGCCGGCTCAAATCCAACAATATCCAACCCTGAACTCACTAAAAATGGGTTTTAAAGTGTATAAGGTTTTGAGCAAAAGTATGTAATAGGCAAAAGGAAACATCTCCGACCCCATAAAGTATGTATATTCTAAGTATATACCATAGCTATAAATCAAATGAATATATCAATTCGAATTATTTACAAATTTAGCCACAATTTTAAGCTAATGCTTTCTGAAAGTATACGAATATTCTATAGCATAATAAGATGTACTGCTGAAAATTTCTTTAATATCGGTTAAGAAACATGGAAGTTATTAAAGAAAACATGTGCTTGGCAAGCCACGTGGCTGCAACAGCAGAGCCCAAGAATTACCGTATACTTTAATTCTATGCATTGAATTGCAATTGCGATTATTAGAATGTGTTGCAGTCTTAAATCAAGTTTGTTTTCATTGAAACTCAATTGATATTCAGTATGTGGCGGTGGCAATTAGTTCAATCGGACCAATTCGACTCCGGAAGGGGGAACTCATTTTTTCTTGAAATTAATTTTTATTAGCTGTATTTGGTGTCGCTAGAAGAGGGTTCAGGCTATACCCTAGTCGAGCACACCCGACTGGAGCACCCCTGTTTGTTTATTCAATGATAGAGCAAGTTAGTTAGGAAAGGGATATTTAAAAATGCTGGCTTGTCAGCTAAAGTAATTGTCTGGCTTCAAGTTGTTGTCGCTGTTGTTGTTGTTGCTGTTGTTGCTGTTGTCGCTGTTGTTCCTGTTGCATGTGGCAAGTGGCATGTGGCATGCTGCTGCTGGCCATAAAAATGATTTAAATGCCGCCGCATTGTTGCATTATGTCGCCAACTACTCGCTGACTGTCTGAGTGAATGAATAAGTGAGTGTGTGAGCGAGTGAGCGAGTGAGTGAGTGAATGGATGAATGAATGAATGACTGAGTGACAAGTTCTGGCCGCGTCTGTCTGTTTTCCTGGGCCATGCATCAAGTTGATGGCCGTCTGGTGGCTCTGCTCGCAACTTCGTTATGGCCGTTGGCAGCGTCTTTATTTACCCGCCAGCTCCGACTCCGGCTCCGACTGCGACTCCAACTCCGACTCCGACTCGGCATCAATTCCAACTGCATTTGCATCTCTGCATCTCTGCCTCTGCCTCTGCATACTTAATGCATTTTCATTTTCATTTTATTTCATTGCTTTAGTTTTGGACCGTCCACTGGCTGCCTCAGCTTGTGCTTTGTTTTCAGCCAGGACTTGCTGCCTTCCCATACCCGACCACCACTATTACCAACAATCTTCCTCCCCTCCCCTACCATTTCCCGCGACCCGAAGGGGTGTCCCTTTGGCCATATTCTCTAACTATTTGCTTTTTGGCTTGTCTGGTGTTTACTTACTTTCATTTGTTTACTTGTGTTTCATTCGGTTAAGTGCTTCCTTGATTGTTTCGCCCGCGCCTTTAGACGAGCCGCTTCTCGCTTTAACTTCTTCATTTTCAGTGCAGCGGCTCGCAGCAGGGTCTATAACCATCTCCAATTCCAACTCCATTTCCATCTCAATTTCCATTCGCAGTGCTGTCAGTTATTATCTGCTAAGCAGAGTTATCCGCAGTCCGTTCGCCAGTTGTTAACAACATTGTTGGGGATTACATGTGCCAACTCAGATGCCAATTGCCACACACACACACAGACACAGACACACACACAGAGACTCGCTCTAAACCTAGTCGATTTGCATAGCTCATGCTGTGGCGCTTTGTTGTTATCGCCCATCCATTGGCCATAAATATTCATCCCGTATGCATACATTATTTTAATGAATTATTGATTTCGTTCAATTTAATAGCATTCACCTCAAAGCCCGACGACCTTTGGATGCTCTACTTAAAATATACAAGTTTTTAGACACTATCAATTTTCAAACTTCGTTTTTCAACTGTTTGGGACTGAGATCTGGAATTTAATCATTTATGATAATTGAAATGTTAGCAACTAAATATTTAAATTACGCTCTGCTTCAAGAAGCCCTTTGCTCTAG